TTTTGAGAAAACAATATTATCCAGTTGGCTATGAAGATGAAAGATGGTATAAGTGGCAACACTTCAGACAAAGATTTGGGTAGCCTGTACAAGAGTATACAATAGGGTTCCACAACCAAGCTATGGTTCTGGACATCGATGTCGACAACTACGATGTTTTCATGAAGTATACTGGAGGTCTTGCCAACTATATACGGAAAGAACTAAAATTGTTCACCATAGATACTATTGAAGAAGCTACTATGAAGGCCATCGCCATTGAGGCGAAAAATAAAAGAACTAACAAGAAGGATGACAGATTATAACATGTCAACAAAATTGACTAGCAAAAAAAGGGGAAGCAGAGCAAGGAAGGTCAGACACAGAAGGTCTACTGTGATCACTGTCAAACCAGCAGACATGCCAAAGACAAGTGCTGGATACTCCATCCTAAGTTGTGCCCAAAGCGTGAAAAAAACAACCATGGGAGAAATGACAGAAAAGCCACCATAACTGCACAATAGGCAGAAGAGCTTCCAGAGTTGAAGCAAATTGATGTTACACTTACCTTTATGACAAGACCAGCAGATATTGAAGACACGTGATAACAAAAATTCTATTGATACCTTAAAAATTGATTTTAAGGTTGATATCCTTATATATAAAGGAGATGTTGATCCTGAAAAGTTAGATAACTGGATAGACACATTAGAAACTTATTTCACCGTTTATAAGTATTCTAATGTGCAAACAATAAAATTTGCGAGTTTGAAACTTTCAAGCCATACCCTTACATGGTGGAAGTCCTATCAAAGACAATATGATGTCTTAGAATTGACTTGGAAGAACTTCAAGATGCTTTTGAGAAAACAATATTATCCAGTTGGCTATGAAGATGAAAGATGGTATAAGTGGCAACACTTCAGACAAAGATTTGGGCAGCCTGTACAAGAGTATACAATAGGGTTCCACAACCAAGCTATGGTTCTGGACATCGATGTCGACAACTACGATGTTTTCACGAAGTATACTGGAGGTCTTGCCAACTATATACGGAAAGAACTAAAATTATTCACCATAGATACTATTGAAGAAGCTACTATGAAGGCCATCGCCATTGAGGCGAAAAATAAAAGAACTAACAAGAAGGATGACAGATTATAACATGTCAACAAAATTGACTAGCAAAAAAAGGGGAAGTAGAGCAAGGAAGGTCAGACACAAAAGGTCTACTGTGATCACTGTCAAACCAACAGACACGCTAAAGACAAGTGCTGGATACTCGATCCTAAGTTGTGCCCAAAGCGTGAAAAAAACAACCATGGGAGAAATGACAGAAAAGCCACCATAACTGCACAATAGGCAGAAGAGCTTCCAGAGTTGAAGCAAATTGATGTTACACTTAGGGTTTAGGGTTGAAGCAAATTGATGTTACACTTACCTTTATGACAAGACCAGTAGATATTGAAGACACGTATAACCGTGAAAAGTTGTTTCATGTGAATATTCAGGTGAAGCAAAGTGTTGTACAAGCTATCATTGACCCTAGAAGTCAGAAAAACCTGATTTCAGAGGCTTTAGTAAGAAAAGTGGGTTTAGACACCACACGACATCCTAAGCCATAGCCGCTAAGATGGATTCAGAAGGACGTTGACTTACAGATCACGAAGCAATGTACCTTCAAATTTGCTATCACAAATCGATATATCAATTAGGTGACATGTAAGGTGGTTCCTTTGGACGTTTGCCAAGTCATATTAGGCAGTCCATATTTATGGGACCGAGATGCCATCCACTATCGGAGGCTTCGCAAGTATCGACTTGTGAAGGATGGGAAGGAGTTCCACATCAACGCTTGCAAGCCTCAAGCTACAAATAATTTGCTTACAACGACGGAGTTTGTATAAAATAGGTCGTCTATTCTTATCCTTGACAATTTTTTGGCTCATTTTTTAGTATACAGACGTCGGTTTTTTTGGGAAATGACGTTGTTTGTTAGAACAACGACGGTGATGTACCCTAACCGCTATTTCCACGTCAATATTAATGGAAAAAATGAAGTGGAAAAAGTATTTCACGACGGTTATATAAATACATTGGACGTCGTATGTTTAAATAACGTCAGATTTAATTTATTTAAAGACGTATTGTATTTATTTAAACGACGGAGTTTGTATAAAATAGGTCGTCTATTCTTATCCTTGACAATTTTTTGGCTCATTTTTTAGTATACAGACGTCGGTTTTTTTGGGAAATGACGTTGTTTGTTAGAACAACGACGGTGATGTACCCTAACCGCTATTTCCACGTCAATATTAATGGAAAAAATGAAGTGGAAAAAGTATTTCACGACGGTTATATAAATACATTGGACGTCGTATGTTTAAATAACGTCAGATTTAATTTATTTAAAGACGTATTGTATTTATTTAAACGACGGAGTTTGTATAAAATAGGTCGTCTATTCTTTTCCACGACAATTTTTTGGTTCATTTTTCAGTATACAGACGTCGGTTTTTTTTTGTTCATGACGTTGTTTGTCATTACAACGAAGGTGATTTTGCGTCGTGGTTTTACTTTGCAAAAGATGTCGGTCGATTTTACGACGGTTTGAAAACCCGATACACGACTGTGAATTTCAGTCGTCTTTTGCCTTTTTTGTAGTAGTGTAAGCAGAACTCAAAGCAGTTCCTTAGCTTCTTCCTTTTGTTTCTCTAATTGTCTTAAAATTCCTCTCGTTCCGTTATTCCTATAAACTAGGAATTCATAGTTATATCAACTAGAAGTTTTGGATCAATGGGTGTCTCAAAATGTTTAACCATCTAAGTTAAGCAATAACATCAAAACTGCTAATATGCAAGAATCAATTGAAAGCTTATTTAAACCAACGAAATAACTCAAATCACACAAGGTAAATATTTATAAGCAACTCAACTCGTCAAAATCATTTAGAAAACAAAGTTCACTCACAAAAGGTCTGAAGCTAGCTCAATTCTGAGTGGGTCCGTCTTGAGAAGTACATGGAGCGTGACCAACTAATCCAATAGATAGAGGCGTTAGATTCAACAATTATGGAACTGGAACGTTAAAATGAAACCTTAGTTTCCCGGAACCCTAAGTGTGTGTGAAACCTAAACAATGACATTTGAAGATCGTCTCAAGTGTTCTCAAAGGCCAAGGTGGCCTCGGAAGACATCTGATCAATCGAGACGACGGGGCACACCATCTAGGTCAATCGAGTATGCAGGGCCCACAAACTCAGAATTATGATATGAAAGTTCCTATGGGTCAAGGGTCAACTATGATCCACTGAACACACCCTAGAAATTTGTTCACAAACGGTTGGATTAACGTAGCTTGCACAATCGGACGGTGATCGACTAACTAAACCTTAGAATCGTCGATACGGAAGATCATACGGTCCTACACACTTCTGGTGACACGAGGAGCGACATATTTCTAAATGGGATTGATCGAACGGTCCTATTGTTCTCAGCCAAAACTCCAATCGTTGATCAAACGACTGGATTTCCCAAATCCGAGCACACTGTTGTCCTTATTAGGCAAAACTCCAATCTGCCACGCGATGCCACCACCGACTGCGGTCGTGGATGTTCAAATCAATTCCTAAAACCTCAAAATTGACACAATGCACCTATGTTAACATGTAGAGCATGATGAGAGGATAAGACTTGGACTGATAGAAATCGTCACTAGAATCGCCAGACACGACGTTAGAAAATTCAGAAAACCAATTATCTATTGAGCCTTATACTGGATACTGGGAGGCTACGGTGAAGGTGTTGTCAACTAGGAAGTTGTTCCTTGTTGAGAGATGAACAAAACTAAAGAAGGGGCCATCACCAACAGAGACTTGTATCGGCCGGAAAATCAATCGGAATGTGGCTGGATTGTGAGGTTGGGTTGTGTGACACCGTGACTTCGTGGCCTTTCCCCGTGAGGCGAGTCACGCAGGGGGGGGAGAGAGAGAGAGAGAGATAGAGAGAGAGTTGTTAGGGTTTTTCTAAATAATTTTTCAAAAGTTACAAAATTGGCCTTGCATTTTCGTTGACCATAACTTTCTGGTTATAATTTCGATTCGCACATTATTTGTGCCTACACGCTCATGGAGATGACTCTACATGCTAGTGCAAAAGAAATTCTAGGATCCAGTCCCCCCAAAAAAAGGGGGCTCGAAAATCTGAGTTTACACTAAAATTTTGAAGGTAAAAATGAAAATAATCCGTAATGGGTTGTTACAACATTGACTCAGTTCCTTCTCGACCAGTTCAACAACATATATTCTGCACAGAGAATTTCTATCTACCTATATGTATATATTTAACAATTCAACAATGCAACAAATCGTCCATAATAATGTGAAAACTAAATGCTATAAGACTAAATAATCATTAACCTATAGACTTGGAATGGTTGACTTGTATTGGTTTAAGTTCATATCTCAACTACAACCCAAATTGCAACCCTACCATCACTTACATGAAACTTAACATTTTTAAGAGATTGAAGGACCTTAGTCAATTTGGTAGCGTTCAATTCAACCTTTCATCAATTCCATCTGGAGAGCGGCTTATTATGGGATGTGAAACAATTCCTATGGTGGACCAGGACAACAACACCACAGGAATTGTTTACCTGTTTTTAGTCTATATTGACTAACTTAATCAAAGCAACCAAAAAAAGAAACAAGAAAAACGAACAATTTGATTTTATGACTCATCCTTATTAGTCAACAAAGCAAGTCAATGTGTTGTTGAAATCTAAATCCAACCGCGTTAAATGAGATGTGCACTTATAAGATTGATGAGAAGCTATACACTATATCAATATAAAAAACATATAAAAATATAAATAAAATCCACGTAAGCGAAATCACATCTTCCACCCACCTCCATAGGACCAACGCTGCAGTTTCTTGCTTCCCTCTCTCTCCCCTTCCTTCAAAACTCATACAACACGTACCCGTAAAACACGTTCTACGCCAAACCCATACAGCCAACCAATAAAAATCCCAATATAACCACAGGAGAAAGATAAAACCTCCCGTTTCTCTTTCTATGTCTATTTTTTCAAACCAATTCTCTTCAATGGAAAAATCGTCTCGAAAAACCGATCTTCCCGATAAGGCCATGACCAAGTCGGATTTGGCTGCCGCGCAGCAGCTGATGCAGCTTAGCGACGAAGATAACAAAAACAACAGCAGCAGCAGCAGCAGCAGCAGGATCAACAAGAACACTAAGCACGAGGGTGAGGAGGTTGATCAGAGGCCGTTGATCAATGTGATCACTTGGGCAAAGATTGAAGAGATTTTTGGTAAAGAAGAAGATGTTGATCAGCCCAAGAAGCGAAGATACCGGTCTCTTGCGAGCATTTATCTGACGAGCAAACCAGTGAATGCAGGATCAGCACATGGGAAGAAGGTGAGGACATTTTAAAAGGTGAAACCCTAATGGGAATTTTAGCCACTTAGTTAGGAGGAGATGGGATTGGCTTATCTCAGTGATAACATCTTTTCTATCAATTGCTTTTTGTACCAAGTAGAGAGATTGGGCGTTCCCCTTGCTTAATTGCTTCATAATATTTAGTTTAGAATGAATTTAACTTGCCTAAAATAATATTTAATAATTAGTGTGTGTGTGTGTGTATATATAGCTTTTCCATGATTGTTTGTGCATAAAATCCGTGCTTCTTCTTCACCCTTCTTGCTCATTAATCCTAAGTCTCTGTTACTGCAATGGAAACTTGAGGGGTTGGGTAATTAATAATCCTAAATAATTAAATGTTTCTAATTAATATTTTATTATAGACAATTGTGAATTATATGAATGGTCTTAAAATCAATTGACTAATTAAAACTTTCTTGCAGGAAAACTTGACTAAAATCTTTATATTAAGAACTATAAGTTTAAAATAAATAAACTTGAATTGAAATAATAAAATATTAGAAATCGAAAGAACTTGACTACACTAATTGCTTGAAAGTAAAAACGTAAACTGATTATAGAAAATTATTATTTGAATACAGCGGTGGCGGCACAGTTTGGATGGCTGTAGTACTAATTTTTGGTTTTGTTTTGGGTTGAACCATGACTGGGTTTGCTAGACGAATGTTGGGTTCAAATGGAGAAGCACAACCCTAATCCATAATTAGTTAGATAATTAAGCATGAGTGAAACCAACTCCATTTAATATAAGGTGTTTTTTTCCCAGAAGAAATCGAATGTTCCAGAAGGCTGGTGTTCAAATTTGTGTATGGTTTGTTTAGTTGAGATTCTTATGCTTTCGTCGAACTTGGTTCATGATATGTTCAGCAAACCAACACCAAACATGTAGAGAAACGTTCTGATGTGTTCCCAATGTGATCAATTTTAAGCCACACCATATTTTTTCGAATAACCATAAACGCTCAAATTAAACTCCCAAAATACTTGGTGTTGATCTAGCCTAATGAAAAAGAGACTTAGTCGTGAGTGTGAGAAACTTTCTTCTCCATTGTCGTTCAGACTATCGCTTATTAAAGAAAAAAAATAATCCTAAAATACAAGAATTTATGAAAACAAGGAAAATGAGGTTAAATGACACTTGTGGTTTTTTTAATTTTTTGGGGCAAATGTGTTGTGTGTGGGATTAGGCTGCTGACTATGTGATTTTGGGGATGGTGTGCAAAGTTTAATTAATAGGTAAACTTTTATTTGGTTTAATTTGGAATACACATAACCACACAAGATTATAACACATACGGAAGAGTAGTAACTATAAAGGGTTAATCCAAATACGGATGACTCCACCAACAACATCAAGCGCACAAGTGTACCTCCACAAATAGTCATAGAGAGCCAAAGAAATTCCAACATAAAAGTCACAAGCTTGCAAAAGTCAGGCATAGACCGCAACGCACAAAATTACAACTGCAAACTACAATCTTTAACTCTTACAAAAAAAAAATTACAAATAGAGGCTACAGACACACAACAAAAACAAAAAGAGTTGATGCACTTATTACAAACAAAAACTAAAACACATGAAGTAAATTAAGAGCTGGAACCCGAGATCCTCAAAACAACCCAACAAAGTCAGCCATCGTCCCCAAGAAATTAAAAAACTCGAACCCTAGGTCTGCAAAAAAGAAAACAAAAACAAAAAAGAGAAAGGAGAGGGAAGGTGAGGGGAGGGGCGGGTAAGAAGGGAAGGGAGGGGAGGGGGGTTGGGAAGGAGATGATGAGAGGACAAGAGAGAGAAAAGTAGGGGAGGGGGGTTTGTTGTGAGTCAAAGCAGAGAGGAATGGACGAACAGAGGAGAGAGGAGGGGGAAGGCTCAAGGTCTGTGCGGTTAGAGAAATTTTTTGTTTCTATTGTTTAGATATGATAAAGTTTATATTTAAAAAAAAAAAACATTTATTCTCTGAACTTGTGTGAATTTCTTTTAAGTTTGGCTTGTTCTTATCACAATCTTTAGTACACTTGGTTCAAGGTGAATGACTCAAACTACAAACTGCAAATGATTTGTCCTCATACCTCATCAAATCAAGTCACATTGTTCGTTACAAGCAACATTACAGAGAACTCCAACCAGCAGCTCCACCATGTTATAATTCACAGAGTTGAAGTGCTTCTGGAAAAAAGTCCTCTTCTTGTTTCAGCAACTCGTAGTCCTTTGGGGAAGACGATGATGACGTGGATGCGTAAGGAAATGGGTTGGTTCGGAGGAGGTAGAGATTGGTTCGGGCTCTTTCTGGTGCAGTCTCTGAACCAAGGGGTCTTTGCGATCGTTGACATAAAAGTCAACATAGAGCCGACATGAGCATTGAGAGTCATGACTCGTGAGGCACATTAAAGCATAAACCAGCAGCACCTATATTCAAAAGAGAATATTATGGTCAACCATTTATACCTATACACTTCATATGATAAGTTATGATATGTCTAAGGCAAGATGAGAAGCTCAAATATACTTAAGAAAACTAAATTGATTAGCAACAAAAATTTAACCAGAATGCTAATACAGAATTGCAAGCCAAAACGATTCTTGGTGAGGATAAAAAATATGGTATATAAATTAAGGAGATTCACTATTATATCCAACACACCCAAAGTCCATTTACAACATAATAAAGAAGCTTTTAATTTCTTTTAAATTACAAAACTACCATTGATTTTTTAAAACAAGCCCAACCAAAAACACTCAATATGGTATCAAAGTAATTTAATAATCAAAATTAAATTCAATAAGATCAGCTGCCATTATACATAAAATAACTTTTCCACTATTTGGTTTCCAAGTGATATGAGAAGAAAAAATAAAACTAACAAGATTTTTTATGAAAGTCTTTCTTCTAAGATCACAACACATGTGACACTTGCGACAAGTTCAGAACATACTAATTTCCAAATTTCCAAATTTCCAAAAATGAAGTATATGAGTCATACAAAAAGTTGTGTAACTTATCACATCACCTGAATCAATATATCAAGGGTAATGCTAGGCTTACTACATTTTTCATACCACATTCATACCACCTCTCTAATAGAGGTGGGCCCCATTGTATTGATAAGCTCCACCTCTATTAGAGAGGTGGTATGAATGTGGTATGAAAAATGTGATAAGCATAGCATTTTCCATATATCAAAATGCAAATGATGGAAGAAGACAAATTTGTCATTTCAGAGTAAAAGAAACAGTCACAAATTCCAAGTGATAGTGCACATATATCGATGCCTAATATTGTCATACTATGTTGCTAGACTTGACCTTACTCCAAGGTGGGGGAAATTCGATGTTATTGAACTTGGCATCAACGCAAGTGGTCCTATCACAATCTTCTTCTTCATCTTGGCCTTCACGGTTATGATAGACCTTCATTTTATACAAAGAACACAAAATTTATTATGGAAGGGAGCTGATTTTCCCGCTCCTCTTTTCTCCGCTTACATTGCCTTTTACTTTTGAATACTTTTTAATAAATATTGTTCTTTTATGTTTTTTTTCTTTCATATTCTACTCTTACCTTACATTAAGGTTTTAATAATTGAAATTAAGAAAATTAAATAAATTTTGAAAATGGATAGAAATGTAAGTATTTGTACGCTAAATTCTTTTCTTTTTTTTTACCAAGTATGTGAGTACTATTTATTTTTATTGTAGTTAATAGACATGCATAGAGCAAGGTATGCATAATAGTCTCAGATGGATTATTGTTGTATTTTGCTGTTTAACAATCTTGTAATACCTGTATTTAGTTGGTGTGTTTGTTTTTTCTCTGTATTGCAAGAACCTCCTGGAAGTGTTCTTCTTGATGTATCTGGGCTTATGCCCTGTTCTGCAATGGAACTTTACTGCTTCTCAAAAAAAAAAGAAAAAAAGAGAGTAATTTAATAATCAAAATTAAATTCAATAAACTCAGCTTTCATTATACATAAAATAACTTTTCCACTATTTGGTTTCCAAGTGATATGAGAAGAAAAAATATAACTAAGAAGATTTTTTATGAAAGTCTTTCCTTCTAAGATCACAACACATGTGACACTTACGACAAGTTCAGAACATACTAATTTCCAAATTTCCAAATTTCCAAAAATGAAGTATATGAGTCATACAAAAAGTCGTGTAACTTATCACATCACCTGAATCAATATATCAAAATGCAAAGAATGCAAGAAGACAAATTTGTCATTTCATCCAAGCGATAGTACACATATATTGATGCCTAATATTGTCATTCCATGTTGCTAGACTTGACCTTACTCCAAGGTGGGGGAAATTCGATGTTATTGAACTTGGCATCAACGCAAGTAGTACTATCACAATCTTCTTCTTCATCTTGGCCTTCACGGTTATGATAGACCTTCATTTTATACAAAGAATGCAAAATTTATTATGGAAAGGAGCTGATTTTCCCGGTCCTCTTTTCTCTGCTTACATTGCCTTTTACTTTTGAATACTTTTTAATAAATATTGTTCTTTTATGTTTTTTTTCTTTCATATTCTACTTTTACCTTACATTAAGGTTTTAATAATTGAAATTAAGAAAATTTAATAAAAATTAAATTAAATTTTGAAAATGGATAGAAATGTAAGTATTTGTACGCTAAATTCTTTGTTTTTTTTACCAAGTATGTGAGTACTATTTATTTTTATTGTAGTTAATAGACATGCATAGAGCAAGGTATGCATAATGGTCTCAGACTGCCTCGACCGCGCCCTGCAAGACCTTCAAAGGACATCTACTATCAGATAATTGATTGAACAACTTAACAAGAATTCCAACAGTCCACAGATGAGTAGCAAAGAATACAGCTGAAAATAATGGCTAAGAATAACGACAGTGCAAAAGTTTCCACATCCTAAAATTTTTGCTGAGGAGAAATTCTGTTCAAGGATATTAGCAATAATAAAAGCATGTTGGCCAGGAAAGAGAGAGAGTAATGAAAAAACTAAAAAATTAACTTGACAGATCGAAAAATATAATGTCCTTATAACCAGGGCAAAACAAAAACCAAAAAGAAAACAGCTATAAATTATATCGATAAACTACATTATTAGTTACATGGAGAAAAATATACAGCCACTAACAGATTTACCTACAACGATTTCCATTTATTTCGACCAAAAAAATAAAAGATTTCCATTTACTACTGCAGGCCAAAGAACTAAGCGCACTTGCAGTCAGTCCAAAAAACAAAGTGCAATTGCAGTAGAGGAAATAAAATGCACAAAACAATAGAGCATAGAAATCACTACTCCAAGAACTTACCGCGACCTTGGGCAGGTGCACCTTCAACATAGTCATAGTATCCACCCGACTGACCATAGCCTCTTCCTCGTCCCCTAAAAGAACCACCTCTTCCACGGCCTCTACCTCTGCCACCATAACCACGCCCACCATCCCAACCATCTCCATTATAATCCCCAACCCCATTGTAGTTTCCTGCACACACAGTACCATGAACCAAAGAAAAACCCCGTGAGCAACTTTAGCCACTTGTAACGAAAGACATCAGGAAATCATCACGGGTAATGAGATGTCATTTATTTAAAAGGGAGAATTTCCAACTCCATTTCATAGCTTATGAAGACACTCGTGACAAAAGTACATAAATAATTTTAGAGCAGAGAGCAATACCTCTATCCCTAGCTTGTCCTCGGCCACCACGACCCCTGCCTCGGAATCTAGGCGAACCCTCTGATTTTCATGAAATCAAATCATTATATGGAAGACACATCACAAACCAATATATTGAAGTTGTTATACCATAGAAGTAACTTCATAGACATAAACAATAACATATCATATCACCTCCATTATCCTCAAAATCATTCAATGGCTTCACTTGGTCAGCCGGAAGAGGGGGTTGGTATCTGTATTCCATTTCCAGTAAATAAAAGAAAATTAGGGATGCTCTAAAAACCATATAGGGATTCAAGATCATAGCTTAATCACACAGAATAAAAAAATTTCCAATGTATTTTTGTCCTGGATCCAGACACAATCTATCAAACCACATACTTACACAAACACCATGAATTTTATCACATAAAAACGCAATGTTTGTGTATCTCCAGGCTCTAGCTGGCTTGATATAATTGGAATTCTAGGCACCAATCACCAGTAATATTATTCCTCAAGACACATTGGACCTTACGCATGATTCAAGTGACATAATAAAAGTTACCACATTTAAAAAAGTAACAAACCAGATCACTTATGACCTGAATGGGGCACTCATGATACACCATAAATACACCATCCACTACATAGCATCCAAACAGAAATCTAAATGACTTACCCTGTAGAGGATGTATGAAGCTCCGTCTTCGACAAAGTAATAGTGATCATTGAAACATGCCGAGTACTCTCTACACTGCAGCAGTAGACACAACCACTAAATCAATATCAACAGGGAAACAAAAAGTTCACATCAGCATACGCTTAGAAACATATAAGAGTATATGGTTTCATACCGATCCAGGCCTTCTTCCAGGGGCTCATACACGTCGGTAATATCAGTTGATCCAATTGAAGTATTCTGATGGAGACCAACAATCCTTCTCTGGAAGTAGAAGAGCTTTATCAGCAAATAAGTATAGACACAAACGCTCATGCACACATGAAGCACATGTATATGCCACACGGAAAAATCACAAGTTATCTCACCTTTATTAGTTCAGCAATCATCACAGTTTTATTGATAGCTCTGCCCATTGCCTTGAGAATAATTTCATCAGACCCTTTCTCCTACAGAAGATACAAGTATTTTAAGGTAGAGCTGAAAAAGGGATTTAATGTGGAAAAATACGAACCACCCACAGAAACAATAGGAGGCAGTTGAAGTTGCAACTTCTACCTCAATTGTGAAACCCCAAAGCCAAAAAGTAACTAATATGCATATAGAACTACTGCAAATTAAACATGTGACAATACTTGGACCGGAAGAGAGGGAAAAGTAGATTTGCAATCAAATAAAAACTTAATCCAATCTACGCCCAAAAATGTGTAGGATTAAAGTTTCACATGGATATCGGAAACAAGTGGTAGTTTTTAGGCAAATAGAGGTTAGAACTTGTCAGACATAATACAAACCCCATTCTCACGTTTGCTGGATGTATAAATCATAAATGTTAGCGTCAATTTTAATGTTTCCACCTACGAAATAGTTCATATTCATTTCATCCTTCTTTGTTAGACTTCCAGTCCCCAAAGATCGTTTAAATGTCATCTTTTTTGTACAATTCAAAACCATGAGAGACCTGCAGAATTAATAGATATAAACAATTTGGAAAGTTGACGCAGAAAAAAGAATTACATACTCCAACATAATAGTAATTTTCGTTCAAGGGCAGAAGTTTTTTTTCTACAAACACACAAAGTGTTGTACAATATGAACAAAACAAATGAGGAAACAAAAATAATAAAAAGGGCATGTTTGTGGTTGGCATAGCAGTGAGGAAAAAGAGGAGGAACCTGAAGGAGAGTGGTGGCGTAAGTAATATAGTTCCTCATTCTGCCTTGAGCGGTTATGCGAATCTCATTCTCATTTATAGGCGCAGCCTCGGCCTTGGGCTTCTCCACCCTCTGGAACTTATCCATCTGCTCTGCGCACCCAAAAAACCAAACAACAAACAAACCCTAATGAAACGGCATGAGCAAGAGAAATAGAGTGAGAGAAGATATGAATCAGGGGTAGGTGTTACCGTTTTACAGAAGAGCGCTGGGAGGGAAGAATCTGCAACAAGCTGCCGCTCGGCAAAGCAAAAGCAACCACTGCGTTTTGTGTGTGGTTTAGGTTTTTTTTTTTGTTTTTTTGGTTCTCTTCGTTTGGGGTTTGTTTGTTCGGCTTTCAAAAGCCTTGTGCTTCAGATTTGAAATTACGTCCCAAAAGCCTCCTTTTTTGTGCGGTTTTGGATTGACTTTTTATATAATTGTTTTTTTTCAATGAGGGATTTTTTATATAATTGTTTTTATTTTTAATGAGGGACTTTTTATATAATAAAAGCCTAATTTTAAATCAGATAACTAATAATAAAAAATAAATAAATAAGAAATGAAACTATAGAAAGCCGAAGAAAATGGCTGGCCAAAACCAAATTGCAAATTGCCAAATTTAAATCAGGATCAGATGATTTCTGAGAGAGAGAGAGTGTAGGGCTTTTCCGGTCGCGCTCTAATCGCCACCAAGACCGCTAATTCCTATTTTAGATTATGTCCAACGATCACAATTTGGAGCTCCCAAATGGCAAGTAGATGTTCTTACTTCTTTCAGAAATAAAAACTGGACTCTATTGCCAACCTTAGCTTACTGAAAAAGGGTCTTATATCCGAATATTCATGTTAGTGTAACAGACTCCTCTCATTTTATTAATTTTTTTTATATACAAAAACTAGATACTTGGCACGTGCGAAGATAAAAAGTAAAAAGTAGTGGACTGGGTTGTTAACTGTTAATTAGTTTTAAGTCAATTAATTTAAAAAGTTTGTTTTACTATTTTACCCTTAAAATATTACATTGTGGTTGTTTGGCAGATTAATTAACCAACGATAAACCCTCCCCTTGTAGTTAGACCATCGCTTCAGGGGAAATTATTGTCTCGTGATAACCGAACTAAGCTTTTAACAATAACATTACATTATACTTACAAAATAGTATAAACATGATTAGACTAGAGTAAAAAAAAAAAACACTCCAGTTAGTCATCCGAACAGTTATTTTTACAGTTAAGAGTCGGTCCCCAACCAGGCATTAAAGTCATAGACCTAGGTACTCCACATCATAACATATATTTAGGCAGCATACACATGGTAGAATATACACTTATATTTAGAGCACCATCATGTTCATTGATTTTGTCCGATGCTAAAACAGGCCGTAAGCTTTTTTATCTCAACCTCAGGAAAAGATACGCCTGAGTTTCACACCTACGGATTTCACTAGCGTACCCCTTAGAATTGTTCAAAGATAGTATTTATCAAGACACAGCTAGAAGAGCAACAGTATCACAAAGATGAGAAAGATCCTGTTCTATTGGCAATGAGGTCCTTGATTTTGTCATCTTCAATGTCGATCTAAGGTTACATGTCAAGGAAAGAGGCCATGAGAGAGAGATGATACACAAAGATGACAAAAAGAAAGGCGAGGAAAGGAGAGAGAGAGAGAGATGAAGTTACGCAAGAATGAGGGAAAAGAAGACACGAGTGAGGATGAGATTAGACGCGCAGATGGGGTTCAAAAACCAGATCAGTCTCGGCCAATTCATTTTGGTGGGTTGGCCTTTTGTTTTTCCCACCCCTAGTTGGTATCTTATGGGTTGGTGTCTCCGGCGCTACGCATATTGTTTGACAACGCCATTCCCAAAGGTGAAAATAGATGGAGCAACCAACACAAAATTACACACCACACTTTAACGGGGAGTTGGTAAGATTAAAAACATCAGCACAGATAAATTGAACTCTTAATATTAGTTAATGATATAAAACAGACGGTTGGAGTACAAAATTACACACTTTCTTCGACCAAGTGAGTGTCATGCATTCGATGTAATCATACATGTGTAAGGATCGGAAAACTAGGAAATTTTGTATCCTAAATGGGCAAAGAAATGACTAGCTGTAAACTAAAAACACCACCACGAAGACACTTCAACTCCATTCTAAACTCCAAACCTGGCCTCGTACACTTGCGGTTGCTGCAGCAGAGACCAAATGTCAATGAGAAATGATATAATTCATTTAATTAAACAGGTACAACAAAGAACTCCAAAAGGTAAAGTCAATGCATCTTGTAAAACCTATGGATTCAAAATCCATCAGGGAGTTCAGTTCTAGGTGTGTCCATAAGGTCTTTAGTACTTTATTATTTTAGACCCACACAAGAATTACCAAAAGCATATTTGACATCAGAAATGAAAAAATAAACTTCCGTCAGGGGCGAGGTACATTACCATGAACAGGGCTGAAATCTGCCTGCCTGCAAACCATCTCAAATGCATAGATTGTTGAGCTGCAGCTGCTGCTTCCACAGTTTCAAACCGCAAATACACAAAACCAGCAGTGTTTCTGCATTTAAACAAAACAAGGGATGGAAAAGAACTTCTCAAATTTTGAAATCCACGTCCTCCTCTCCCATATCAAACATGTATGCAGACACATGCTTGCAAGAGAGGATGGAAAAGAACTTCTCAAATTTTGAAATCCACATCTTCCTCTCCCATATCAAACATGTATGCAGACACATGCTTGCAAGAATAGCCTGTGTACTCTAAGCAGTTGTCCGCTTCATCAAACTGAAATAATATCGGAAAATGGAGAGCATTCTAACAAAACCTTTGTTTCTTAACCAGGAAAATATTAAAATATTTCATTACTCAACGTAACTAAACTTATGTTCGAGTTCTCTATGACATAAGGGTTTTGAGTAGCTATCCAATCCTCCTTTCCCTCTACAGTTTATGCTTAGAAAGTACTATAAACACACCAAAGGATTTTAAAAGGGGGCTCCCTCAAGGCTAATAAAGTGACAAAAGTAACAATTTACATTATTAGATGCAAGATGCAAACGTGCCAACTAAGGCTTTGACTAGTGCAATACGTAAGCTCATCTTATCAATTTGTATTGAGGCATAGTGCAATACGTAAGCTCATCTTATCAATTTGTGTTGAGGCAGGTGAATTTCTAATGAACCAGACACACCTGTCCAACCGAAGCAGGGAGATGCAGGTTGGTCCTTGTCCCGCTCTTAAATGTTTAAAATATTTTCAACCTCCCCAGATTACTTTGGTGTAGTGGCCCGGTCACAAGTGTTTTAAACCGACCCAGCCAGCACATCTAACACCCAATACATGCTCTTATTCTTGACCCTAATCCATATTTCCCATCCCCAGCTGCCAACACCTCCGATTTCTAGGGATGGGCAATGGGTACCAACCACCACCACCACTACCTAGTAGGTACCCCATCGCCCATCCCTACTAGTTTCTCTTCTCTAAGTCTTCCCTCCCATCAAATCTCACCAGCCATTCAATGACCCCTATTGAATTTCATTATCCGCGGTGCTTTATCTATTGGATTTTTTTTTTACTGTTGGAGAATAACAAACTCAATATGCGCTGCATGCTTGATTTTATGTCCAATGGGAGATTGTTTTTGTTCAGTATGTGCTTCATGCTTCATATTTTTCCTTTGCACCCTGTCTTATGGTCTCTCTCCCTCTCTCTAACAGCCTGTTTTTTTTTTTTTTTCTGCTTTAAATCAAAACAAGTTGTTTCTGGTTTCTCTCTATTTCAAGTGCTGTAGTCTTGTTGTGGGTTACATTGTTTTTCAATGCTTGTATGCTCAAGCACAACCCTAGAAATTGAACAACTCAACCCTAATTGAATCAGGTTGGGGTAGCTTGGTTGAAACTTCTTCAGTCAGTTTCAGTTTCCAATTTTCCCAACCCGGTAAGGTCTGGTCGGTTGGAAGCTTGGGCCTCAACCTACCTCCAAAACCAATTTGTGCCATGCCCAAATTTGTAAGATATTTTCATTAATACAAACGAAATCTTCCAATACTGTCACACAAACAAGATATTTATAATATATTTTCATAACCAGTATGTATATATATTTATGTACTTACTTGTCCACGTATATATGCTTCACCCGGCCACATTTCGAGCATTCTTCTTCAACATCGTCTTTAATGTCTATATCAAAATCTGGCTCCCTCTGCAATATAATATTAAATCTCAAAACAAATTTTTTTTCTTCGAAGGAAAGCAGAACAATCTTAACTAAAGAGCACAGACCTCAGTGGCTGGATCAAACATATTCTTCAATAGTCTTCAGATTGGAACAGGTTGTGTTGGTTCAAAGTAGGTGCGACACCAGAATTTGGAATTTGGAGTCCTCAGGAGTATTCTCCTGTAAATCCCTTTCTAGGCACCTGATGGTAAACCCCCACCCAAATCTCTGCTTTCCTCCATCTGTAATTTGGAAATCTAAAGCTCCCCCTAAGGTAAAAGTATTAGTTTGGCTAATCGCTCACGGCAGAATTAATACATGCGACTTGGTCCAAAGGAAAAGACCCGGCTGGTACTTTTCTCCTAATTGGTGTGTTCTGTGCAAAAAAGACAGTGAAACTGTGGATCATCTATTTTTGCTATGTCCTGCCTCATCCCTGTGGGCTAAGCTATCCCGGGAGACAGGGATAACATGGGGAAACTTTGCAACTTGTAGTGAGGTGTTTGAAGCTAGATTTAGATTCTTTGGTGGGAAGAGAAAGGGTTCAGTGTTGGGAAATTGTGCCATGATGGCAATCTTTTGGGTAATTTGGGGGGAAAGGAATAGGAGAACTTTTGAGAATGCGGTGGGGGACGAGGTAGAGCTGCTATGGGATCGTATCCGAGTCTGGGCATCTCTTTGGGCTTCTGCTTCAGCAGAGTTTAAGGAAATTAGCTATCAGCTTATCCAACTGGATTGGAAAGCAGTAGTTTTGTAGTGCAGAGATTTTTCTTTCTGTTTGTGAGGTGGCCCCCTTGGCCATCTCGTGTACTATTGTGTTTTAGTCCCTTTTGAATAATACTGTTTCTTTTCAAAAAAAGTATTAAATGTCAAAACATTTTGATGTTCCCTTCTTTTTAACAATTACTGGAAGTATTTTATGCTCTTTCAGAATACTTCATTCAAAATTTCCATCATTTAGTCTGAATACTGATATTTTGTCAATACTTATATTTTTCAACCTTCGGTTATTCCATTAACATCAATATTAGTGCTTAAAATATACGTGAACGTACTAACATTCATCAACATAATGAAAAGATTGAAACTCACCAAACCACCCCCATCATCATCATCAAAGTCTGCAGATTTTGCTCCAGTCTCTTGTGATCCAACATGATCCGTAACAGATGAAACCTACATAGTGTCCAATAACTGTGTTAACATGGGATATTAACAAAAGAAAAATAATAATAATAATTCGTTACGAAGGTACAAACAGATATACTGACAGGTAATTGCAAATATTAAAGCTATCATTTCCCTCTAGAAACTTGTAATATCCAACTTCCCTACAAATCTACAATAAAAAATGCAAACCTACCTTGATAGTTCGACCCGCAATCTCCAACTTTCCATTCAAACTTTGAGCTGCCTTTGCATGTTCTAGATGAGCAAACTATAAACATAATGAACAAATAAATAAGTACCAACCAACATAATAATCTTCTAAACAGAAAATGAGAAGTAATCACTGACTTGAACAAAGCCAAACCCCTTGCACTGTCCTGTCTCAAGATCAAGGGGAAGTTGCACGAGTTCCACTGGACCAAATGGTTCAAAAATCTGAGCATTCAACATAAATAAATAAAAAATATTGTGAGGAAAGAACTAATTTTATAAGAGAGTTGAAGATAAAAAATACTGTTAACAACTCCTAGTTTATAGTAGTCCCATTTATTGACATGGTTGATTGTTTCATAGTGTAGATTCATTATTTAGAGCTTAAACTTAAGGTTTCTAGTCTCGGATCGATTAGTTGCTTCAATTTTTGCTTCAATTTAAAACCTAAAATTGAAACTCTAAGGTACCAATATATGCCCAAAATAATCAACACTGTCAATAATAAATGGAACCAAAGCTGAAGAAAATTGAATAGAAGTGAGGTTTTCTCAACACATCCTGCCTTTAAGAAAGATAGGGCATCCTACACAGAGAGCACATGCATATATGCGTGTCCATATAGGGAAATGCCCTCTTGCCAGACAGTTGCTTATGTTATATACACAGAAAAGTAAACATATATTTAGAAACTAAACATAGATGACGAACCAAGTAGCAATTACCTCTCTAAGGTGAGTCTCAGTCATGTTAAAATGTAAGTTCCCTACATACAGTTTCCTATCAACTGCACCATATGGTCCTGCAACGCCTACAGCCCCACCAGATGTGTTGGACTGAACAAGATTCTTTTCAGCCTCTGAAGGTTTTACCATTACAGGTTGTCCTAGAAGTAGTTGGCCAGAGAGAGCTATAGCCATTGGCACAGACATTGCATCATAAAACTCAATATACCTGCAGTATCAAGGGCCCTACACAGTAAGTTTGATGGAACATACAAGACCTTAAGTATTGCAATCAAAACTTACAAAGCATATATCAAAGAGATGTAGGGAAACAAAAACTCTAGGGCAGAGAGCTCAAGCTGAATTTCTTTTGATGAATCTGATGACTCATATAAAAGAAAATGTTAGCTCATCACAATTAAAAAAAAAAACATGAGTATTACATTAAAAATTGATCTACAAGAAAACACTAATAGGATAGGGCACATGGGAAAATAAAAAAGCAGTCATATGAGCTAAAGTTTGATAATGAAAACCCAATCATGAAAATTAACAGTGAACTTCCAGATAAGCCTTAACTAGGACTTGAAAGAGCAATAAGATGTCAACCAGACTTAGAACTTATGAAATATCAGAACCAAAGGAAATTGAGATAAAACTGTCCACTCGCGCTACCCACTTAAAATTTTACCATTCAGAAAATCTGCTATCATAAATAAACTCCACCAAGTCATTACCAATCTCCACAACAGAATGGGAGGACCATTAAATGAAGAATTTGAAAAGGTGGACTGGGATGCAGAACGGGGCCCTTATAGCAGGAAACACGAAGAGGAAGAAAGCGGGAAACGATAAAAATTAGGTTTTTGTCGTCTACCTTGAGTACGCAGCATGAATTGATTAAACATGAGTGCAAGGTATTCCCACCATCCCTCATCATTATCGCATTGCTAGTTCATTTAAGAATACAGTTAAACTTGATTCTAAAAGGATGATATGCAAACAATTATCTTACGAAGTACACACACATGACTATAATATAGTTTCATATAAATGCACATACCCAACTCCTTTTGACCGTCTAGAATTCCTGTCCATGATCAGTCGTACATCCCTCACCTGAAAGTGGGAAAAAAGAAACAATAACAAAAATGTAAGACCAAATAGAAATTCATGTATTGAAAGAAAAGAGGCTTATACAGAGATATTTTAGATATTGACACTACATGATAAAGCACCTAGTTTGGGGTGTTCACAAGATGACTGCATAACTCATTTGCATATTTTTCACTCACCCCACATATACAGAATGTTGAGACAATAGAAAGTCATTATATTACTCGTAACTGAAGGCAGAGGAGCATGTACTGCAACAGGAAGCAAATGAATCTCAATACCATGCAACCATAATGTGTGAAGTAGTGTCTCATGCAACAAGATTGCATTGTAATTATTCTCAGGTATTAGGATTAAAAGATTAGAATCCTAATTCAGATATCACAAAATGAGAAAATAAAGGTAGCAAACCTGGTTATATATAATATAACATAACTTCATCAAGAGGGGAAAAAAAAATCATCTAATAATCTAAAAGAATGAATGAATTTCAGCCAACCTTGCCCGCTTTTGAGAAAAATTCATAAACATCTCTCTCGGTTGCCTTCAGTGGCATCTGTCATCACCATATTAAAACAACCAACGAATAGTCAGAGAAATTTCAACAATCATTCTACATATATCAGTTCAAATTTTATATCTGTAAAATCAACTTGACTTTAAAAATCCTAACATTAGAAATAAACTCTCATTTTTCTCATATCGTTCTGACTATTTTATTGTGAGTCTGATCCATTAACAACATTTACTAAATAGCATTAATCTGTAATCGAAACTAAAATTTCTAAGAAAACCAAGAAACCCTTAAAAAAGAATCGGGATTAAGACTTGATTGCAAATAAAATTAAAATAAATTTATTGAAGAGCAAAGGCACAAGCCACATACTTGGTAAGCAAAAACAGTTCTCTGATCCCTTTCTGGATCAGCTTCAGGCTCCACCGCATCTTTTTTGTCTTTAAACCTCCTGGCATTTGAATGTCATTTGACACAGTTAATAATTTGAAACTATAATATAATTATCATTTTCAAATGAAGTGTTTAAGGATTACTTTTCATAACCCAGGCATTATGGTGCATTAGAAAGGGAAAGAACCCTCCCTTAATATAATCCATGTATTTGTTGGCATGCAAAAGAACCCCTTTCTGTAATCAACATATTATTATATTGTTAACTGTAATACATCTCTAACTATTAGCAAGAACCTTGACAGGAAATCGCAGCAAGATAATGGAATATCCTGCTATCAATTGAAATTTAGTACTTTCTCCAAATTTCAACAGTTTAATGCGTTCTCCAAAACAAAAAAATTCAATACTCCTCACAGCAAGTAATAATTAACAGCTGAAGAAGAGAAGGACAAAATCTTGGTCTACAAGAGAGAGTTGCAATACCTAAGTTCCCACAAAACAATCCACATTACCATACAAAATACTTATGCAAGTACCAACACGAGCATTAAGAAGAGCAAACCAGATAAAGTATGAGAACCTAACATCACAAAACAACCCAATTGAAGTAAACAATCATATTATCAATACTAATAGTACCTGCTCTCTCTCAACTCAATTTCTCGTTCCCTTTCTCTAATTTCCCTCTCCCTATCACGATCAGAGCGGCTCCGACTTCTGCGAGACCTCTCCTTCTCTTCGCGGTCGATACTTCTGCGAGGCCTTTCTTTCTCTTCGCGGTCACTACTTCTGCGAGGCCTCTCTTTCTCTTCATGGTCGCTACTTCTGCGAGGCCTCTCTTTCTCTTCACGGTCGCTACTTCTGCGAGGCCTATCTTTCTCTTCACGTTCGGATCGACTCGCACTCCTCCTAGACCTCTCTTTCTCCTCCTTCTCTCTTCTCTCTCTCTCCTCCCTTTCTCTTCTATCTCTCCTCTCTCTTTCCCTCTCCTTATCTCTCTCCCTCCTCTCTCTTTCTCTCTCCTTCTCCTTCTCCTTGTCCTTATCTCTACTACTCCTGTCTCTGTCTCTTTCCCGCTCGCGATCACGATCTCTGTCCTTGTCCCTTTCGCCCTCTCTCTCCCTCTCTCTACCACTTCTGTGGTGCCGATCCTTATCGCGGCCATTCTCGTACTCGCCCTTCGACCTCTTACTGCTCTTCCTATCCTCATCTTCGGCACCGACCGAAACGTCGTCGTCAACCTCTCTTTTTCTGTAACTCTTCTCGGTTCCGTCCTTCTTCGTTTTCTTCTTCGAGTCCCTCTCGTCGTTCTCCTGCACAGTCTTCTCCAGATAATCGTACTCGTCGAAGTCCATCGCTGGCTTCAGAATTGCTTCCCAAGGTTCTCTGAGCTAGGGTTTGTCGAAACCCTAGGTTTACCAGAAAGAGGGAGCAATAAAACGCTGTGTATTCGGAAATTTTATAGTTCTAGGGTTTTGAAGAGTTTCAGCAAATGGGAAAGAACTTTGGTGGTTTCCTGTATTTCTCTATTAAGCTGGGATGTAGGGTTGGATGTAATTTGCGCGTATACGAAGGCCAAAAGCCCGTGGGAGAAAATCCATCAAGAAAAATAATAGGCTTTTTATCACAAAACGTCCCGAGGTTTGCGAAACTATTAGGTTGCATCCTTTATGTTTTTTTGTGTCATTTGTGGTCCTTAAGGTTAATATGACATTAAGGACCACAAATGACTATTTGTGACCACACGTATTAATCTTAAGGATCATAAATGACAAAAAAAATAAAAAAAAATAAATAATGCAATCTGATAGTTACGCAAACCTCATGAATGTTTTGTGATAAAAAGCCAAAATAATAGGAACAGCGCAAAATATGAGGTTAAAATTCTATTTATCTATTTCTTTGAGTGATGCTGCATCTATCCACATCCTATACCCTTTAATTATTAATTCAAGCAGTTATGATTTTCAGTGGAAAATTTTTTAGAGCCTGGTAAAGTTTTTGGAGAATGTTTTCTAAGAATATTTTCAGCAAATGAAAACGAATTTGCATTTTCAGGATTCGAGAATGCATTTGGTAGATTAATTAGAAAACAAATTCAGAAAATCTATATATATAAACCAAAAGTCAGAAAATGGTAAACCATTCAAAATACCAGAAAATGCCATTGGTTAATGCAAACAATTTTTTTTTTGTCGAAGGTTAATGCAAACATTAAGATTGAAATTATTAATTAAATGAGAATAATATGGTAAATTCACATTTTTTTCATATTAAAAAAAATTAAAATTAAAAGAAAAATTAGATAATGGATCTTATTTTTATGGAACACAACTACCCATTATATATTTTAATTCTAAAATAAATTTAAATGTTTTTAAAAAGAGCCTCTCGCAAGCGCGAAAGCTCGTGCGGAGAGGCTAGTAAAAATCGTGAAACATGTCAGTAGTACGATTTGATAATAATAATATGTGAGCTATTTTTCAAGTGTATTTTTGCTAATATATGTTAAAAAAAAATTCTAATGTAAAAAAAACCCCGGAGAAAGAATGTATTGTTATAAATTCATACGTTATGGGTTTATAGGTTATGGATATCCACCATAATAGCCACTATTAACCTCACCCATCATTATATATTTGTAACCTACCAATTATGGGTGGTAAATGATTTAGGCCTCTCTACCCCTATAAATAATGGCATCAAATATGAATGGAATACAAGTTGATTTGAGCAAATTATACTGTCTTTCTCTTCCTCTTATTTCTCTCTACAAATTCCTAGTTTCACAACACGTAATCAACACGAAAGCTCTTGAAAATGTCGAACTTGACAAAGCTCAAATTTGTTGCTGAGGTTCATCTTGAGGCTATGAACCTAGGGGATGTTGTGCGGAAGTGTCAACCAACTGTGAGTGAAAAATAAACAACAACTGACAAGAGATAAAAGAAACAAAACAACACCAACAAGAACACCAAGATTTATATTGGTTCGGTAATGCCTACATCCAGTTTGGAGACGATGGAGTAATCCACTATAATCAAATGAGAGAATACAATAATTTTTAACACTTAGAAACCCAAATGCCAAATTAGATAATGGATCTTATTTTTATGGAACACAACTACCCATTATATTTTTTAATTCTAACATAAATTAAAAAAAATTTAAAAAAAAACCTCTCATAGGCGCGAAAGTTCTTGCAAAGAGGATAGTAAAAATCGTGAAACATATCAAGTAGTACGATTTAATAATAATAATATGTGAGCTATTTTTCAAGTGTATTTTTGCTAATATATGTTTAAAACAAAATTCTAATGTAAAAAAAACCCTAGAGAAAGAATGTATTGTTATAAATTCATACGTTATGGGTTTATAGGTTATGGATACCCACCATAATAGCCACTATTAACCTATCATAATACCCATCATTATATATTTGTAACCTACTAATTATGGGTGATAAATGATTTAGGCCTCTCTACCCCTATAAATAGTGGCACCAAATATGAATGGAAAGTTGATTTGAGCAAATTATAATGTCTTTCTCTTCCTCTTATTTCTCCCTACAAATTCCCTAGTTTCACAACACATAATCAGCACGAAAGCTCTCGAAAATGTCGAACTTGGCAAAGCTCAAATTTGTTGCTGAGGTTCATCTTGAGGCTATGAACCTAGGGAATGTTGTGCGGAAGCGTCAACCAACAGTGAGTGAAAAATAAACAACAACTGACAAGAGATTGATAGGATTAAAAGCACACCACAAAGTAGCACACAAATATCCTATTGATTTTCCTTATTTACACTAAGATTTGTCAATTGTAGCATATGAAAATAAGGGTCTTTCCCGCTGAAGATTGTTTTATCTAACTACTTAAAATGTCACAAAGACTAGGCTGCTGTCCCTACTGACCAGCCACCGAAGAATAATTATTAAACCTGCTTACACCTATCTAAAGTCTACAAAATTTTATACACAGATACTAGACACGCAGAGCTACACGCACACAAATTTTTGGGATTTTTAGAGTTGATTTGCTATTTAAATTAAATCAGACAACAGCAGGACAGAAATGGATTCTGAATTATATAAACAGATTGTATTTCACAATTAAGAAAATGAGTTAGGGGAAGTGCTATCCACCACCAAATAATCATGCAACATGTTATGTTTCATTCAAATTCCTTTCATTTCCGGATGAAGATGCTCAAATTGGCTCAATGTTAGAACTCAACCTATTACTCTTTCTTAAGTAGTATGTTAAGAGAATGACGTTTTCAACTTAACTTAGTCCCTAGCATGCAATCTAGATTGGCGTGTTCATAGATTTAACAAGTAGAAGTCATTAAGAACAAAAAGAGTTTGAGTCATCACAACGCATCGAAAGTACTGGCGTTGTCTTACTTATCCTAGAAATTGATTCACATGTTAATCGCAATTAACAAGTACTACTCTAGAACATATGTAGGTCCTCATTCGTCAAGGGCAGGCACACACATATTCATAGCATTAGAATCCTAAATATGCTTACTAAGTATGCATCCGTAGAAAACACATAAAGAATTCATCAATGAGACAAGTAGTGAATCAATTTTCATCCTTTCATAAAAGAAATTGAAACGAAATGTCATAACACATTTGCAATCATATCAGAGGCTTCAAAACAGCCCCTAACTACTAAGAATTTAGCTACACATTATTCTAAAATAAAACCAAAAGAAAGACATGAGTTTGAGAAGGTAAAACCGAAAGAAGAGAATGCCAAGATTTTCTCCTTCCTCCTATCTTGCCCAACGTTGCCGCCTACTTCCCCCCAAAAAACTCTCCTCTCACCCCTCTAAATAGCAATTTATTGATGACAATAAGTGAGAAAAAATGGTAAAACAATTGTAACTCTTTGGGC